AAATGGGGATCTCGACCCTCCATATTTAGCATTCACGCATTTATATGCATTTGAAAGAATCTTAACCATTTAATTAATCTAATATGGAGATTAAGTATTACACCTTATCGTAGTTATATGTTAGTAAAACTCACTTGTTACACCGAATCACTTACTCTTCTCTCCTACAGTCTTTCTTTCCCATTCACTCTTATAATTATATCATTTCATTACTATCCAAACACGTAATTAATTGATCCCTTCATTCATATATATTATGAACCATGTAATTTTTGGTCGAACCACAATTAGACTAATTGCATATCGACCAACAAACCATAAACCATGGAAATATTTTTCAGATTCTCAAGAAGGGGGAAAGACACATGCTTCTCTCCTGCGCATCCTTCTCTCCTTGACTTGCAGGACCTTGAAAATAAATACAAGGAAAAGCTCAAAGCTTGGCTTGCTATTAAAATATTGAAATTTATTGAACCACAATAAATTTTTAGGCTTGATATCAAGTAATTAACAATTTTTGGCTCATTTTTCTAAGAAGAAAAAAACCGTTTTTGGCTCATGCATTAATTATCAATATCATTATTACTATTTACCAAAATAAATATTGACTATTTATTGCTGTTTTGGTGCCACTTTATTCTTTGATACGGTGCAAATTGTGAGTTTAAATATAATACAACTATTCTGAGGTGGAATAATTAATTTCCATTATATTAATCAAATAGTTAAGATTCTTTTAAATGCGTGGATGCTAAATATAGGGGCTCGGGATACATGAAATGGATTCAAATTCAAATGATGTTTTGCATAGATGATTTTGGAGGAATACCTAATATATAACCATTATTTCCATTTTTTTCCTTGTTTAGGAAATGTGTCTTTCTTACTATTATAACCGAAATTATATACTTTATTTTGAAAGGAACAATGACATACATTGTCCCATTAACTATACAAAGATCATATAGCTTTTTTAAGAACATAAAGAATTTAAATTTAATATCTTATACATATATATATGAAGTAGCCTTTCATGAAACAAATTGACCAAATCTTTAATTAGTATACAACTAATATGTTATAGTCAACAAGAAACAAATTAACACTAGCTTCTAATTATATTATAACAGGTATAACACTAATACACTCACAATGTGTGCTATAAATATTACATAAACCTAAGGGTAAAATCGTGATTATGATCTATATATATGTGCTTGTCAAAAACATAAATTGTACTTTAGTTCAACCTATTGAATACCTCATGTATCGGACCTCTTGTTTTGGGGCATAGCCATTTCAATATGGTAGAATTTCTACCCAATAATGGGAATTTTGAGAAAAACTTAATTACATTATTGACACAAAGATTATCTGAAGAAATTCCAGATTCTGGATATCGAAGTGAAATCATTGGTGACAAATCTAAATCTATAACAACAAAAAATAGTTAATGTTGGGACTTTAGTCTGAATCATGAACGCTATGCATCATGCAAAAGGTGTCTCAATACAACAAGCCGAAATCTTCGCGAGCGTTATCGTCTTAGTCGAGGAGCTATAATATGAATGGTTGGTTGCGTCCTAAAATACCCAGACACAAAATTCTTTGGTATAATTGACACGGATAACGGGGTGTATGGGAAAAATCCTCAACCTGTTCCTAATTCCAAGTTATTTCCAATGACACTAGATCATTTGTTAAATCGATTAACTTCTGAAATTGTTTCCGGACAATTGTATGCTACTGGAAGCATTCAAGTGACAAAGAGGAATAAAAGGACAAAAAGGATTGATTTTTACAATTTGGTTGAGTGTACCAAAGACTTGTCACATGAAGATTGCAAGTAGTGCCTTCACGTTGCAATAAGCGAACTTCAAGTTTATAGTCAAAGAATGAGTGGTGGACGTGCTATTTATATGAGTTGTTACGTCAGATGTTTGGTAACATATTTTGTTTTCCGTTTTCAAAAGTGAAATCAAATTATCAGAATTACCCTTATTTTTTTAAAACTATTTGGAAGTGTTTTCAGTTTTCAGTTTTCGTTTTCATTTTTCGTGCGCTCCTTTTTCACGCATCAATTTGACATCACCAGACATGGAATGCATTCCAGGTACCAAAACTCAGTATTTGGGACTTCGTATTTAAATATTTTATCAAAGAAAAAATTAATTACTATTTATGAAGTAATATAATTTGTGAAGTTGATTAAAATATTGAAGAAATAATAATTAAAACATGATTACTAATGAAAGTAATTAAATAAGGCTAAGATATGATTTAAGTAATAAAAAGAAAGTTTTTTAAAAAAATATATTGACCTAAAGATATATATTATTTCTTTTTAAAAGAAACCTCTTCCGAAGAAATTTTGTCGGGAGAAGTCTAACCCGGCAAATATAAATTCATATTTTTATTGTTGGTGCAATGTGGAAATATCTTTCAAGCATAGAGTATTTCAACAGTATATCCGCACGGCTATACTCTACAAATACAGTCGCAGCAATATTTTGAAATTTTCAACCGTATAGCCGAGGGGCTATACTCTGTAAATAAATTTTTCACGCGTACAGCCGCCCGGCTATAGCCTATAAATAGAAATTTCAACAGTATAGCCGCACGGCGATACACTACAAATAGAATATTTCAATAGTATAGCCGATCGGCTAAATTTTCAAAAGTATAGCCATCCGGCGAAATTCTGTGTATAGCCGCGCGGCTATACCTGTAAATAGAATATTTCAACAGTATATGCTTTGCAACAGTATATGCTTTGCAACTAGTGCTGACTGCTACCATATGCTTTGCAACTACATCAGGCCTGAAATTGTCACGCTTAATTGTGAGAAAGAGAGAGACGCTGGTAGATCTTCAAAACTTACATTTTATCTGACAAAATCAATGATTAACTACAAAGACATAACAACCCTTCACTCCATCATACCATCTTGATTACTAAATTATTCAATTATAAAATTACTAAGCTATTCCAAATATGATTCATTCCACCCGCTCCCAAGCTCATTCACGTTTGTTTAAATTAACCCAATGATTATTAAGCAAATCCTGAACTGAAACAACCTGTTCATATACTTGAAGAAGTGTTGGTGGCACACTAACCTGAGAGAAGATGAAATCCACAACATAGTTTCAGTTGTTGTAAAGGTCTTTGATACTACCACAACTACAAATATCAAAAGAATATGAATGAACGATAAGAAACCCCACATAGAGCTTAGACTATAAAAGTCAATATTTAGTTATATAAATAAACTTAATGCTTATCGAGGGTAGTTTCTGGGTTTAACCCTGCAATATTTCTGGCAACATCAGTAGGATCAACGTTTGCAAGACTGCACACAGGGGAAAACAAATTATTAGAATACCCTTAGACCAGAATCATCCATCCTCTGATAAAAATATGCATATAATCCTTTAACCCAACTACCAAGACTAGAACCAAATATTTATACAGAGAATGCATCTAACATAGTCCCTGAATATGGGCTATGTTTCTTCAAGCACCACAACTACAACCAACACACAGAATACAGATTGCTTTAAAAAATAAACACAAAGAAAATTTGAAAGCATGCAAAAGCATGCCATGTCCTAAAATCCTATGTGCTGAAATTGAATGAAAATATGGAAAAATGGGTACAAGTACTCAACCAATGGATCTCCCTGCTCCCATCCATTTCATGTTCATGCATTCTTTAACTCATGTCCTGAAGATAACACATAAAACAACAAAAGTGGATACTCACGGAATGTAAACAAGTAGCACAGGATCACCCTCATTGCTCTCCAACTGTTCCTGTTGCAGAAAGTAGGATCAGATAGAGGCTTCATATGCCTAGTAATTGAAACATAAATCAAAACCAAAATATATGCATGGTAAACCTGAACTGAATCTCAACCAATGATTTAGCAATTTCTTAGCTGAAGATGAGGGTTTTTCCTCTTCTACAGCAGCTGTATTATCTTGCATCTCTCTGGGAGTTTTTGATTTACTCTTTTTGCCCATCTTATGGATCCAAAAGCTGCATTTCACCCAGATTACGTTACTGAGAATTGACAAAAATGTATTTGCAGAGATGCCAGATCTGCCAGGAAAAAAGAAATCTGAAAAACAAACATCATTCAAGTTTTCGAAAAATCGGCCGCCTAGGCGGGCTAGGCGGTTTTTCTTTTTAAATTTTATAAATACATAGTATAGCCGAACGGCTATACTATTTATTTTCTCTGGAGCTCATGCTATTTTGGTGTTGGCATCAAATGGCATTCATTTTCACTGGAAATGGCCACAGGACCTTAATTCTAGTTGAGTGGTAAAGAATGACATGCTTTATAATTCTTTCCTATTAGATATCTCCTCTCTTTCCTTTCGAAATTGAAATCGGAGTGATAGTTGGTCATTTGATTCTGATGATATTGATTGAACGCAGGCAACTCCCAAGGTTCACCCTAATTTATGGAAACCAAGGAGTGGCTTAGAGCAGATGAACAATGACCTGGGCATCAACCCTGAAGACTCTATGTCCTGCTTTGATTTGTCCCAGAATGATTCATATCTCATATAAGCAACAGGAGGGATGATCTCCATTTTTGACATGAGAATATTTAAGGTAAACCCAACACAAATAGTATTCTTGAAATTTTCTTTTCCCAGCCAGAACTTCCCAAATCTTGTTTGTCAATATGCTTAGGTTCTGTTTGCAAATTTCTCATGATCTAACTCATTGTACTCATAAAAATCTGTTGCGTAAAAACGCGGACGATGAAGAAAGTCATGCTACCGCCACCTGCGGCAACATGTCTTGCTTTTCACCCCCGAGATGACAGTATAGTTGCTATTGGCATGGACAATTCCACCATTGTAATATCTCCACTCAGACGAGGTAGCTTGTTTGTTCTTGTAAAAAAAACAAATCATGTTCGATGTTGTGATGAAGCAAACCTGAAAAGTTTGTCATTGCCTTGATTTATATACTTCGCAGATTACAAGGAAGCTTGAGGGTCACACCAAAAGAGTCACTAGCCTTGCCTTCTCAAACACTCTGAATGTAATAGTTTCTTCTGGTGCTGATGCATATTGGAAACTATAATATTACTTTCAGACATGGCTTCTACTCTAATGTGACTTCTGTTATTTAACAATGGACGTCGTTTTGGCCTTGCAGATTTTTGTGGGGGGTGCTGCTGGGTGGGAAAAACAGAGAAGCAAATTGTTGCAGATTCCAGATGGGAAGGAGTTGAGATCATTGTGTGTCAATTTTGACTTTGCCTTGCAAATGCTGAGCCTGCATATTTTACAATTGATTTCAAGAAAGATAAGGTTCTTTTTGAAAATTCTGCAAGCTAAGTATTCTTCAAGTGGTCACACTATCTCTAGGAGGTTTTCCCTTAGGAATGACTGTCCGGTAGTTGCGACATCACAAATGTAAAACAGAGACGAGAGGCCTGCCACCTTTTTGGCTTTGACCTGCAATCATCTCCTGATTCACTTTTATATGTGTTGTTGCATAAGGAACCTGTTGTCAAACTTTTCACATGGGCACTCTACCATCCTCGCCAAAACAAAACTGAGCATGGCACATCGTTGTGCTGTGGTGTTTTTGTACGCCTTGCAAATTCTCCTTTGCATAGAGAAAACGAACCATCAACATAACCAACAGAGGAGATAAAAGATCAAGAGTCCTGAAAATTCCAAGAAACGGATCTCCTTGTAGAAAGGTTCTACTGCTGAAGCTGCAAAATGCATACATCATGTGATTAACTTATAGACACGGCAAAGAATCATAATTTCTTATAAACTCTAACTCTGAGCCTGCATTCTATATGAATAATTAACATTGCCAAAACCATAAAAAAACAAACAACATAATGCATTAAGTCACCAAACATACATGCCAGCTAAAAAACAGGAGGAAAAAAAGTAAATCTTACTGCTTGTAACTCAGATTTCTCCTCGATTTTCCTTTCGAAATTGAAATAGCGGCGATAGTTGGTCATTTGATTCTGATGATATTGATTGAATGCAGGCAACTCCCACGGTTCACCCTAATTTATGGAAACCAAGGATCTCTTAGAGCTGATGAACAATGACCTTCCCAGCACCAACCCTGAAGAAGAGGCTATGTCCTGCTTTGATTTGTCCAAGAATGATTCACATCTCATATCACCAACAGGAGGGATGATCTCCATTTGATTTGTGAGTATTTGCAGAGATGCCAGACCCGCTAGGAAAAAAAGAATCTAAAAAAAAACATGCCATTTAAATTTTCGTAAAATCAGCCGCCTAGGCGGTCTAGGCGGGTTCTTTTTTTATTTTATTTTTAATAAATGGTATAGCCGCGCGGCTGTACTTTTAATTCCCCCCCCAAAAAAAGGTCCATTACTATTAGGCCATTACCTTAGTCTTTCTATTGTCCCCTTTTGAATTTTTACTTATTACCCATATAAAGAATATAGCATGTTGTCATTTAAATATATTATTTAAAGGGTATAGCCGCTTGGCTATACTTATTAAATATATTATAAATAGCATCGCCGCTTGGCTATACTTATTAAATATATCATTTTACACTTAAATAGTATCGCCGCTCGGTAATACTCATTAAATATATCATTTTAAAGGTATCGCCGCCCGGCTATACTAAATATATTATTTAAAAAGTATAGCCACACCACTATACTCTTTACATATATTATTCAAAGCGTATATGCCTTTAAATATATTATTTCAAGCAAATACTCCACCACACACCGATCCGAAGCCAAGCAGATACTTTATATGATATGTCAAAAAGAGTTTCAATTTGTCACCAATCATCTAGGCATGACCTATCCAAGTCCGCGTGCGCTTCGTTACAAGGATGTAAAAAGGGATTGGAAGTCCATAACTGATTTTTTTAAGAATGTCAACTCCAGGAGAAGGCCTTTCCAAATAGAACACAACCTGATCAGGCATTGTCGATAGCGAAAACTTTCCTTCCAGTGTGGCTGCGCAGATATACTAACACAGAGTATAGCCATGCGGCTATACGATTCCTTTTTTAAAACAAATTAGGAAAAAAAGTCTTCTGAAAAATTAGAAAAAAAACAGAGTATCGCCGAACGGCTATACTATCTCTGTTTTTTACAAAAATTAGTGGGAGACCAAGTATTGCCGTGCGGCTATACTATTTATTTTAAAAAGTTAGAAAAACGGAGTATACCAGTTTGGATATAGCCGCACGGCTATACTATTTGACAAAAAAAATTTATTAAGAAAGAACGACCCTCCTAGTTGCATTAGTTTATTTGGTATAGCCGCATGGCTATACGATGTAATTGTTTAACTTGATAAAATTTTGCAAATTACAACTTAAAAGTTCGGCAACTATATAATATTTTAATTTATATTATATGCATTCAATAATATGTGGTAATTATGTGTATAATACGTGAATCTTGTGTGCATTATTTAAAATTTTGTAAAAAATAAGTGTATTAAATATGAAATATACATATGTACAATTTCAATACAAGTATTGTACATTTGCTTTTTTTAAAATTAGGAAAAACCACATGGCTCTATACCATTTGATGTGTGGGCTCCACACATGTGCCACGTCATCAATTTAACAAAAAAATTTCCGGAAACTAACGGCATGGACTATTTTGATGTGGAGAGGGTAATCTTGAGAACCATTGGTGTTACCAAAAAAAATAAAATTGAAAAGTGATAATTTCGTAAACCTCTAGGACTATTTGTGATTAAAAAAAAAAAAATAAAATTAAGAAAGAAGGACCCTCATAGTTGCACTAGTTTATACTTTATAGATATTAATTTGGTATAGCCGCACGGCTATACGTAATTGTTTTATTCGACAAAATTTTGGCAAATTACAACTTAAAAGTTCGGCCATTATATAATATTTTAATATAAATTATTTGCGTTCAATAATATGTGAGAATTATGTATATAATATGTGAATTTTGTGTGTATTACTTAAAATTTTGTATAAAAAAAAAAAGTGTATTAAATATAAAATATAAGTATGCACATGTTCGATACGAGTACTATATGTTTGCTTTTTAAAAAATTAGGAAAAACCCAAGTATAGCCGCGCACGGCCATACTATTTGTTTTTAAAAAAATTTGAAAAAAGAGTATAACCGGACGGCTAAACTATTTCTTTTTTAAAAAAAAATTGGGGAAAAAACCTAGTATGGCTGCGCGGTTATACAATTTCTTTTTAAAAATTAAAAATACAAAGTATCGCCGTGCGGCTATACTATTTTTTAAGAAAAAATATTAAGAAAGAAGGACCCTCCTAGTTGCATTAGTTTATACTTCGTAAATATTAACTTTGTATAGCTGTGTGGCTAAACGAATAAAATACGTAATTATTTTATTCAACAAAATTTTGGCAAATTTGAACTTAAAAGTTCGGCTACTATATAATATTTTAATATATATTATTTGCATTCAATAATATGTGAGAATTATGTATATAGTACATGAATGTTGTGTGTATTATTTAAAATTTTGTAAAAAATAAGTGTATTAAATATGAAATATACATATGTACAATTTCAATACAAGTATTGTACATTTGCTTTTTTTAAAATTAGGAAAAACCACATGGCTCTATACCATTTGATGTGTGGGCTCCACACATGTGCCACGTCATCAATTTAACAAAAAAATTTCCGGAAACTAACGGCATGGACTATTTTGATGTGGAGAGGGTAATCTTGAGAACCATTGGTGTTACCAAAAAAAATAAAATTGAAAAGTGATAATTTCGTAAACCTCTAGGACTATTTGTGATTAAAAAAAAAAAACCTTCAAAAAATGATGGAAATATTTGACTACGTTTGTAAAAAAGAAAGTGACATGACAGAAAGTGCTTCTTGGGTGCCGGACTTTAAGAGTCAACTTTTGCTAGCAATTTATTTTATTATTTTTTAATTTCTTTCATAAAGAAGATGATTTTAGATTTCTCTTTACAATCCTGCTAACAATCACATCAAATAAACCATCGCAACGGGGACCAGGAGGACAATGCTCCTCCGCCTAGCCAGACATGCCATCTGATTTGCACGCGGAGCCACCCTTAGGTTAGAGTGAAAAAAAATAGTTTAGTACTAAATTTTAGGAAGTTCATCCTATTTAGTGGAAATTAGTTCACCCCGTCTTAGAAAAAATTAGTCTATCTACTTCACTCCAACAGCTCTTTAAATGAAAAATAACTGGATATATGGCTTACTCCTAAGAAAATTTCTAGCCCTGTTTGTCCATCAACAGGCCAAGCAGCACATCAGCTCTGATTTATGCTCCAAATATCTGCATCCATAGAGGGAAAAAGTCCTAATTAAGTTTATGCCTCTGGGGCTCAGCCAAATTGGTAAAAGTACTGGACAATAAAGCTCATGTACATTACGAATGGGAAATTATAGTTACTACAATGTAAAGAAAGCTGTGCTTAGCTTTCTCTTTCTGTAACATTGATGACCAAAAAAAAAAAAAAAATTCAGCATAAAGAAAATTTGCTTGACAATAAATTGTATGTTAGTTCAGTTATGAATATATGCATACTATCCAATGTGGATATTCATTTTTTCACACCTTTGATCTTTTTTCTTTTTTCTTTTTGGGTTTATTGGCTGCTGATTTCTTCACGCTTACATGATTCTGTTTCCCAGCAGATTTATTTTGTGCTTTGATGCTTCCATATATACTTCCCTTTCAGCTTTCTTCCATGTTCATTCTTCTCATTTCAATATTGAGGTCAGATGAGTGAAGGCTTGGTCCTGCCTCATCATCATAAAGGCCACTGAACTTGATTTCTGGCTCATGATCATCGTCACCGTCTTCATCATCATCCTCATCACCATCATCATCATCACCATCATCATCATCATCATCATCGTCCTCCTCCTCCTCCTCCTCCTCATCATCATCATCTTTATAATAATCATCGTTGTCGTCTTCATCATATTCTTCATCGTCGTCTTCATCATCTCTAAGAAAATAAGCATATGGGACAGACTTGCACGCAATAAAAGAGTCAGGATCATATATAAATTTGTCCCATAAAAGACTGACTCCTATCTTCTTCACCGTATGACCAGATCCAAATGCAACACAAACCTCAATGAAGTCTCCGCCTTCCAAATTGAAATCCTTGTTTGACAAATGCCCCTGCCAAATAACTTCATGGGAAATTGTTGTGTAGGGGTATGTCGGCTGGACAAGAAAACTAGTGCAGTT